GGTGAGGAGGAGAGGAGAGGAGCAGAAGATGGTATAAAAAAAGGAAGGAGTGAAAAGGATTATAAAAACATTCTCTTCTAAAAATCATTATTTCCATAAATAGTAAGCATGGGAGGGACTACTTATGGAGGCTAATGTCGTTACTTTAACACAACTCCCTCTCTTTGTGAGGATGGTAGTTAATAGAGTGAAATTCATTTGGTTCTACCTTCTTTGAGGTGAAACTAATAAGTATAAGATGTGTTAATGTTTAAAAAAAAAGTTTATTTATTTAGTTTTTTCTTGTTGGTTTTTATTTGTAACTACCTCATGCACTGCTGAGAAGTTTAATATATACAGGTACTTCATAATGCATTGGTTGATTAGACCTGTAAAACTTAATTTGAGGGCATATTAAACATATTAAGAAAAAATGTATTTATGTACACATTTAAAACATTTACTAAAGCTTCCTGACTCTGAATTTAGCTTCCTGGCAGATGGGGTGTTACATGCACATATTACTGTAACAGGTCATGACAGCTAAAAAACAAAAAACACCTAATTCATTTGTTCCTAATCTTGACATAAACATCCTAACACACTTATTCTCTCTGCCTGGAACATTCAACTCTTTCAAGTCTTTGACTGCCCCAGTGTCACCTTGTGGTTGACATGTATGATGACATAATAGCAGGTGGTCGTATATGGATGTATGTTAAACACAGTGTTTTAAGTGTATGTGATCATAAACCTTAATACTGGGCTGATTTTCTTGTTTTTCCATAGAGATTCGTGGATTTTACTGAACAGTGGCAATGCATATTGCAATAGTGACTTGCTGGCCTAATTTTGTTGTGTACAAAGGTCAGATACAAAATAGGAACCAGCAGTTAAAGCATCTCCTGTGTTTCTTCAGTGAGCTTTAGTGCTGTTTCCTTCTATTTCTTTTATTATTAAAGAAAGTATTTGACATTTTTGAAAATCAGCCGTTTTTCCCTCAGTTACTGAGAGTTAAATAAGAAGACTGATACTGCCCTCAGGTCTGCTGTACATTAAATCTTTCAGTTCAGTTCAGTTTTATTTGTATAGCGCCAAATCACAACAGAAGTCACCTCAGGACACTTTACAAAGTAAGGTCTAGACCTTACTATTATCATTATTATTATAGAGGAAACCCCAGCAAACCCCCCCTTGAGCAATCACTTGGCGACAGCGGGGAGGAAAAACTCCTTTTAATGGAAGAAGCCTCCTACAAACCCCGGCTCTTGGTCTGCAGCCTTCTGCCTCAACCAAAGCTACTGTACCAGCCAGCAGCTAATTATCTTAACTTAGCATAAAAACCGGAAACATGAGAGAACGGCTAGCCTGCTTCATTCAAAGGAACCAAAATCCATCTACCAGCACCTTTGGACAGATCCTAGCTATCTGCTTTAACCTTTTCAGTTTCCAGTTTGGGGCTAAGATAAGCTAATCAACTGTAGCTTTTTACTGAATGGACAAACATGAGAGTGGCATCAATCTTCACATCTAATTATCAGAAAGAAAGTGAACAAGAGCTTTCCCAAAATGTAAAGCCACTCCTATAAAATCAACTTCAGAGAACTGGGATTAATGTTTCTATTAATGAAAACTTACAATCAAAGTGTTAGATATCACATGGGGAAATAACTTTGAGGAATAGTCTCTCCTTTATGTAATGGGAGCAAGTCCAGGCTGTTATAAAAGTCATGGAAAAACAATCACAGCCTCACAGGCATTTTTTTTTTTTTTTTTTTTTGCAGAGGCGACAGACATTAAGCTCCTAAGATTCCTGGTACCTCCAGACACCAGGATGCATTGTGGGTGTCCTTAAGGTTTTATAATTAAATCGGATCCGCTCTGAGAATGACTCACTCTCCAGCTACTGTGCTGGCAGCTCATATTAATTGTCTCTTTATTAACTTCAAATTACAAGAGGGGCCGGATGTGTTCAGCACCTTTTTCTGCTGTCAAGGCACCATATGAAGCTAATGTTGCTGCCATCTGGGAATTTATGAGTGAGAGAATAGTGGTTGATGAGACCATTATCTGTTCAAAGAGGTGAAAATTGCAATGAAAAATTTCTTAAGATTTGGTCATTTTCAGTGGGGTTATTCCCCTCTGAATATCAGCAGTAATTCACATACCAGCACCACTCTGTCCATGACAGCCATGTCTATAATTGTACAAGTTTCTCATTGACCCTTGAGCTTGTTTCACGTAGAAGATTAATTGCTTTCCAAAGATCAAGCACAATCTCCATAATGGATCCGTGGAGACATCTCCATAAAGCTGAGGAAAGAAGAAAAGCTAGAAGTCAAAGTAACAGCACAGCCCTCCTAAAATCCACATCTACAGATTTATTACTGCTCAGGGAAAATAGCTAAAAAGAGTTAGGCTGTCTTCGCCATTAACCTGTCCATCTGATTGGTTAAAGAAAATGATCTACCTGTAAATTTTCCAATCGACTTTATGAAAAATCACATAAAATGGAGTGATAGACTATCTTACTTCAATTTTTGTGTTTTAGTAGAGTCAAAAGACATCTTGTTGGGGTGTTGGGGTCTGGTTTTGCCTTCAATCTGTGAGTTTAATCAAATGTTTGGATCATTTCTTAGCTTCCTCCGTTCTCCCTTTCATCTCCTCTCCCTACTCGGCAGAAGTCAGCTAACTCCAGTGTTAGTAGCTACTGTTGCTAATAAATACAGAGGACCTTCAGCCATTATCCAGACGAAGACTCTCTGGAGACCTGCGCAAAACTAATGGCTTGTCTCAATGATGAAGATTCACATGATAAAAAATGAGCTTACAGTATTATACAATGATCTATTCTCAACTGAGTCCAGTGAAATTGTGGTAGGAACCAGTTTAATATCTATACAGGCTTTATAGTTTATCGTGTCACTTCATATTTTGGGAACTGTTCTGTAACAACTGGTGGGCCCTGTTCTGGCCTCCTTAAGGATGATGTGAGGTGGAACAGAATCACATCCAATCTGTCCAAGGACGACCTGCTGGGAAGGTCCCCACTTAATTTGTCTCACCGCTGCTCTGCCATTGGCCCTTTGCCATATTTAAAATGAATCTGAACAGTCAAAATGTCTCCCTGTTCCTCTGTCTCTCATTCTCTGTCTCCTCCATCTCTCACTGTCAGTACATGGGGAAAAACAAATGATCTAAAGAACAAATCTGGATGGCTTCAAATTTGGCACTGAGGATACTGACAATAACAGAGCCACCCATCATTAACTCAAAAAGAAGCTGAACAGTGTTAATGCATACTGTAATATATCAGACAGCAGACAGTCCATCCTAAATCAATCACATTTCATATGAATTAGATTGATCTGTGCTTTAACATGATGATATGCACTGTAGATATTCTAAGAAATGTTATAGTCAAGATAAATACAACTTTCAGGAAGCTACAAGACTATATATATGGTTGAAAAGCCCAGAATAGCCCAGTAGGTAGACCTTGATTCAAGATAGTTTTGTCACAATAGTTTCCAAGGTCAAGATTCTTAGTTTACATGACACATGTGCCTCCAAGACTGCTGGTATAAAAACATAGCCACAAAGTCACGGGTTTCCCTTGAGACCTGTAAACATGAATAATCTGTGTGTCTGAGTGTGCTGGAACAAAACACTTGATGCTCTGTTGTACACACTGGTGGCAGATGAGTCATCTCTCCTCCAAGCACTTAGTTAGTAGGCACATCACACACTCTGGGAGACAGGCACAGTCAAGCACCTAATCATAAAGTAAAGGATCGTGTCTCCACTGAGCGTGGCTTTATAAGTGCTCCGTCATTAACAATGTCACATTTGAGTTAAAACAGAGCAATAAAGAGAGACTGCCACAGGCTGCGAGTTAGATCTGAGGCCTGTGCTGCCATCTGCTGCTGATGCTGTAATGTGCTGCTACCTCCTGCTGTTGATCCATTTAAAATAATTACTTTCTCAAATTAATGAACATCAATGTAAAAGAAAAATAAGACCTACTGAATGTCCTATGTAAGACAAAATATGTTCTATAAGTAGCATGATTAGATGTGATTCTTTTTACCTTTACCAAAATATCAGTTATGTGTGCAGTTTGCTGAGCATGAGCTGCTACTTTACAAAATGTTTACACAGGTTTTGTGTGTAAACACTTCATCTGAAGGTAACTACTTGCTCTTGATTAAATGTAGTGGAGTTAGAATAACATAGTAGATTTACTCTCCAGTTTTCCTTATCTGATTTGAGAGGCTGGGAACAAAGTGTAAATCCTCTTATATTTGGCGCTACACAAAAAAAGTGAATTGAATTGAATTAAATTGTTTTTGGCTGCATATTATACATAAAGATGTTCAGCCCTGTCTCTCAAACTGTTAAGATCAAACACAGCAGTTACAAGAACTCTAATTTTTGATTGATCAAGAGGTTGCACTGTCAAAATCACATTCACTAGCATGCTATTGTCTTAGGTTGTCATGTTGGTACTCCATACCATGTAGACTACACATGGTATGGAGCATATAAAAATGAAAGAATGAATGAATGAATGGATGGATGAATGAATGAAACCTAAATCTTTCTTCACTTTCCTCTTAACATTAATGTGCCTCTCTTAGTACAACTAAAATGCTATACGGTATATCATCATATTCATCTTATCCTACTTATCCCGCTCACAATGTAAAAATCTAAGAGTTACAAGTCACTCTTTCTGTGTAGTTAATCGGATTTCTCCCTTCACAGGTTTCCAACAATTCAGCTCATATAGGTGTTTGGTGTTTGGCTAATTTGGCTTCTGTCCATGCTGGAAATTGTGTGCTTGTGTAGAAAAGTAATATGCATCACATTAATCTGGCAGAGAGAAGTTTACAGTTGTAGTGTTGTGTATTATAATATACAGTATGTGAGAGGAAAGCTGAGTGCTTACATATATCAGACAGTCTACAGTATTGTAAAATTCTGGTGATTAAGAAAAATTCTATGCAGCAGAGTAGCCAGCTGTCATCAATCAACAAATTACTACCTGCCTCATATAAAAGCAATGGTTCAGGATAGCATTGCTCTTACAACTTCAAGTGCAGGACACTGGTAAGGAGTTGATGTTGTTCTGCCTCCAAGGGCAGTGAGTTTATTGTTTAAGTCTTTTAAGGCGGTGTGATGTGTTAGCTGTTTAAATAATGTAGAAGCTCTAAAACCTGCTATTAATGCTGTGAGTCCAAATCATTTAGGCCTTTATTTCAAACACAGCTTCTTTTTTTTTCTTTAATTTTTGCTCTGGTGTGGGTGGGAAATGAATGTGAAGTGACCTTAGAAAGTTGTTGCCTTTCCTGTGTAACCTGGACTGGAGTTTCTCAACTACAGACCGAAGATGTCCGGCCGTGGGAAGAAAACTGCACCCAAACCAAGATCTGCAGTGTCAAAGTCTTCAAGGGCAGGACTCACTTTCCCAGTGGGCCGCATCCACAGGCTCCTGAGGAAAGGCAACTACGCTGAGCGAGTCGGCACTGGTGCTGCAGTGTTCCTCTCAGCCATCCTAGAGTACCTCTGTGCTGAAATCCTGGAGCTGGCAGGAAATGCCTGCCATGACAACAAGAAGCAACGCATTGTTCCTCGTTACATCTTGTTGGCAGTGAAAAATGATGAGGAATTTGACAAACTGCTGTCAGAGGTCACCATCTCGGAGGGTGGTGTCATCCCAAATATCCAAGCAAGCCTTCTCCCCAAGAAGTCAAAGATACCCAAAGATGACGGTTCTGCTACGACTCAGTCTCAAGAGTTTTAATTGTAATCTATGCATGGCTTAAAGATTTGATCATTAAAGTATATTTTTTCAAAGAATATCTGTCTTATTGCTTGCAGAGTAAGATGTGTGTTGCTCAAAGAGTTTGGCTCCCCCTGTGAGTTCTGCTCAGGAAGGACAGCTATGTAAAAGCAATAACACTGCTGTTTACATGGTGATGTAGTTAATGTGACACTCTTAACATGGTTAAGGGGCATATTCTGCCATCCTTCC